TACTAAGACCGCCACTTGATTGAATAACAACTATAAATAGAAATTTAAAATAAAATAAATTAAATCAATTTTGTTAATGTATATATAAATTATATTAATCTATTTGTAAACTAAAAAATATATTGTAATTAATTTACAATATATTTACATACTTTGTTGTTCTTTTCCAGTTCCTTTATCTCTAGCAGACACATGAACAATACCATTAGCATCAATATCAAATGTGACTTCTATTTGTGGTACACCTCTAGGTGCAGGTGGAATTCCAACAAGAGTAAATTGTCCTAAAAGTTTATTATCGCTAGCCATTTCCCGTTCACCCTGATGTACTTTAATTTCTACTTGAGTTTGACCATCAGCAGCTGTAGAAAATACTTGACTTTTTTTGGTAGGAATAGTTGTATTCCGAGAAATTAATCGTGTGAATACTCCACCCAATGTTTCAATTCCTAAAAAATTTAAATATTAAATTTCAAAAATTTCTTTTATCTAAAATTTCTTTCTAATATATTTAAGAGAATAAATATTTATAAAAATTCAGTAAATTATAGTCTTCATTTTAATCAGAGAGAAGATTAGTTCTAATAATCATCACAATCTAGAAATAATTTTAATTAAAAATATAAAAAAATAGTAAATGTATACCAAGTGACAAAGGTGTAACATCCAAAAGAAGAACATCTGTAACATCTCCAGCAAGAACACCACCTTGAACTGCAGCACCTACAGCTACAGCTTCATCAGGATTTACAGCCTTTGATGGTTGTCGACCAAAAATTTCTTGCACAGTTTGTTGAACTTTTGGTACTCTTGTCATACCACCAACCAATAATACTTCACCAATATCAGATCTCGTTACTTCAGCATCAGAAAGTGCCTTTTGACATGGCTGAATAGTACGTTTAATTAAATCAGCAACAAGGTTTTCAAATTTACTTCTTGAAAGCTTAAGATTTAAATGTTTCGGTCCACTAGAATCCATAGTTAAATAAGGTAAATTTATATCAGTTTGCAAAGAACTAGACAATTCAATCTTTGCTTTTTCAGCAGCTTCCTTCAATCGTTGCATAGCCATTGCATCTTTAGTTACATCTATACCTTGCTATACAAAGAAATAAAAATAGTATTGAAATATACAATATACAATAGTACATAATATACAATAGTACATAAAAATATATGATACATATATAAATAGCATGAATTATTGCACTATACATACATCTTTTTTAAATTCTGATACAAGGTGATTAACCAATGCATTATCAAAGTCTTCTCCTCCTAAGAAAGTATCCCCATTTGTAGATTTAACCTCAAAAACTCCTTTCTGAATTTCCAAAATTGAAATATCAAAAGTACCGCCTCCTAAATCATACACTGCAATACTGAAATATATATCATCTATATAATATATGCTTCTTTTATTAAATAGTATTCAAAAATATTATTAAATTAATCAGTAAATAATTTCAGCATATATAATATATAACTCTAAGAGACGAAAAATAATAGCATCATTTTTTTTTTATATATTTCATAGATTAATATATTTAATATAATTAAAAATATTGAAATTCTTACATTCTATCTTCTGTTTTGTCCATGCCATATGCAAGAGCAGCTGCTGTTGGTTCATTAATTACTCTAAGCACGTTAAGTCCAGCAATTTGACCAGCATCCTTGGTAGCTTGTCTTTGAGAATCATTAAAGTATGCAGGAACAGTAATTACGGCATTTTTTACTGATGTATTTAAATATGATTCTGCTGTTTCTTTCATTTTCATGAGTACAAATGCACCAATTTGACTAGGAGAATACATTTTACTATCACCTCCTTGTACCCATGCATCTCCATTAGAGGCACGGACAATTTTGTAAGATACACTTTTCCTAAAATTAATAAATAAACAAATTAATAAATTTATTTAAAAGAGGAATTTTATTTATTAACATATATGAACATAAAGTACATACATATCTTTTTTTACTTCAGGATCATCAAATCTTCGTCCAATTAGTCGTTTTGTAGCATAAAATGTATTTGATGAATTAGTAACTGCTTGACGTTTAGCTGGCATACCAACTAAACGTTCTCCTTCTAAAAAATTAATAAAAAAAAAATAATAAATAAAAATCACTTCTGAATCCATTTTAGTGAATTCATTTTCATAATTTTTTTTGCATAAAATATTATATATATATATATGATTTAGAAACAATTATCTTAATAAAAAAATTTTAAAAATAAAAAAATTATCATATTTAAAATATAGAAAAACTATAACAATACAGAAAGATTTGTCATTTACTCTTTTGTGATCATTATTTAATACATACAGAAAAAAATTTTCTAATTATGTAACATAATGGAAATATATAATCTATAATATAGTTTCTAACCTTTACTAAATGCTACATAAGATGGAGTCGTTCGTGATCCTTCTGCATTTTCTATAACTTTAGGTTGTTTTCCTTCCATAACTGCTACACATGAAAATGTTGTCCCCAGATCAATACCAATGACTGCTCCTTTTACACCTTCGGATCTGAATAAATAATACATTTACTTTCAAACATAATTTAACAAGATAATTTATATTACATTAATAGTAAAATATATATAATTAAATGTATAATTAATTTAAATATATAAATTTATTATAACATGATTTAATTATTTTAATTAATTTACTTGTATCTGTATTGTTGCAAATCTGTAAATCGTTGGGGCATGTTCAAAGTAGGAGCTACAACCTGAAAAATATTAAATTTATATTCAGATTGTTGTATTTAATATACTGTAATATACTATAATAGACTATAATAGTTAATTATAACATGAAAAAAAAATCTATTATAATAATAGTATCATAGAGTAATAAAATAGATACAAATATAATAATTATCAAATATATTACATCTTTTTGCAATCAATTTAAAATATATAAATATTATATTGAAGATCACGTGCCGGTAATGTTTAAGTTTTAATAGAAAGAATATTTAAATACACAAAGTGTTAACGAAATAAATATATAAAAAATAAATATATTATAATAAACTTATTCTTATAATAAAATCAATTAATATTAACATTGTAGAAAGTAAATAGAAAGAAAAAATGTTCGATAAATGAAATTGAAACGGCGTGTCGTACGAATCGCCATCGGAACTTACATTTTTAAGAATTGTGCTAAATTGTTGTTTTCTAGTAATATCGCAGGTTATATTGCTACAACTACGAGTTAATAATCTTGCAGCAGTCAGCATCTTGATTTTATACGTTTTTATCGCTTAAATTTATGAAAAACTTAAAAAAAGACGCGAATACTCTAACTTCACGTGTAGTGATGCAACCTTCACAGAGACTAATAATGCGCACACCATGCGCGCAATAGAACTCCTTCTATTTCGTCAACCAATAAAGATAATATTATTTAACCAATAGGAATTCAGTTCTTAATGGATACACGAATCACTGTATTGCATGGCCTTCCTGCTCTTAGTTACTCGAGAAATCGAGAATTATCTATCCCGAATATTCTACTAGAATATAGATGTTGTAATCATTAATCGGATAAATAATAAAAAATTAAAATCAAAAAAATGAAATAAATAGTCTATATAATAATTTTAATTATATGTTATTCTAATATAAAATAATATTATCTATTTATTATATGAATTAAAAAATATAGTTGTTCAAAGATTAAGATTGTACATGAAAATGTTGCAAAGATATTACGAGTACTTCCGGAATTTAAAAAGTGATGTAAAAAAATAACGGTATTACATAATTCAAAATTATAAAATAATAATTTATTCAATGTTTACAAGGAATGTAATCAGGTATGAAAAATATTATTTTATTTAAATTAAGTTATTTAAAATATTTTAATAACGGAAAATAGAAAAGTTATTCATATTGAATAAGTAATAATCTTCATGAAATATGAAGATTTTCTATAAATGAAAAAATTTCATTACAACCAATTGCTTTGTTATTCCGTTTTAATTGTTAATTAGTTAAAACAATTTCTTTTATTATTGTTTTTTATATTTAGTTAGATAATTTTGCTAAATAAATAGTTTTTTATATCAATAATTTGTAATCAAGTATAAAAAATATTATTTTATTTAAATTAAGTTATTTAAAGTATTTTAATAACGAAAGATAGAAAAATTAATATGTATTTATTACTTATTCATACTGAATAAATAATAATCTTCATGAAATATGAAGATTTTCTATAAATGAAAAAATTTCATTACATCAATTGCTTTGTTATTTTGTTTTAACTGTTAATTAGTTAAAACAATTTTTTTTATTATTGCTTTTTATTTAGCTAAATAATATTGCTAAATAAATAGTTTTTTTATATTAATAATTTTAATTTTGATGCACAAATTTTAAGTAATAGAAAATAATAAATAATATTATATAATATCATGTTATAATATATATTATATCTATATCTACTATATTATATACTAATATCATTAATTATAGTTTGTGAGAATAAATTAAATTTAGAGGAATATATATATAAAAAAATAAACAAGATATTATATCATTTATTTCATTAAATAATCTCTCTGAAATTAATAAATTCATAATTTTAAATTATTTTTCATGATACTATTATGGAGTTCAATTCATAACTATTTATATTTTTACGATATTTTTATAATGTCTGAATGTTATATAATTTTAATTTTATATAATTTTTTAGTAATTATTATTTACTAATCTATCAATTAAAAAATATAAAGACATTTAATGTTAAAAACTTATATACAAAAAAAATAAGTATTTGTTGTTGTTCTGTTAAATGATACATTTTTAAATACAATTACTTTTGTTATATATATATTACAAATATGAAAAATATTAAATACAAACTTACACAAAAGAACATATTGATATAATTGAGTAAATAGTTCTTACAAATACTATATTAATGTGTTTCATTTATCAATTGAGTGTTTCGTTTATTAATTGTTAGAATTTTCAATTGAAAAAAATTGTAATTTAGTTTTTTAATAAGAAAAAAAAAATAAATTATATAAATTTATATCTTCTATGCAAGGAACAATATTGATTGACATAATTGATAGTACTTTTTATTAATAATAATTAAATAAAATTTGTTATCTATAATTATAAATAGCAAAAAAATTATGAATTATTTTCTTTCCAAAGTAAAAGATTTGGAGATCCACTTGTGTGTATTGTACAATTTATTAGTTCATTTCTGAAAATTTAAATCATTTATTTTTTATCTGTGATAAATAATATTTTAAATATTTATTCATATAAAATATCTAACTTACAAAAATCGATCTCTTAAAAGAAATGCTCTTGGTTGTATCAAACTCAGTCTTTCACCATTGTAGCATAAAATTTGTGTCATTGTGATTTTTCGGATTTCATCTAATTGATTTAAAGTAAATGATCCTGGGCTGTTTGCATTTTCATACCAATATCTGTCACCTATATTATAATATTATAATAAATAAAATAATATACTAATCAACAAAATTAATAAATTAATAAATTAATAAATTATATAGCATCAATTATAAACATTGAAATAAACAAAAAATATCTATTAGAGGTTATTTTTCAAGTTATAAACAATTTAATCTTGCATTAGACATGGAATGATAACAGTAAAATTAAATTCATTTATAATTTGAAAAATAATTTTTAATTTATATTTTTGTATATTAATTATTTCATTTATTTCATTTGTGTCTATAGAATTGATCTTTCAAAAGGATTTCACATTTCTATATCTATAAACATTATTTCTATAAACACTCTATATAATATCGATATCGAGTTTTACTTTTATAATTAAAATGGATTGATAATACTTACCAAAACGAATATTTCGGAAAGTACGACCCAATAAACAAAGAAATGTTGGTCCTAAAACTGAATCGGATAACGGTGCTTCCGAAAGCAATGCTGTCACTAAATCTATATCTTCTACTTTTCTGTTAATTAAAAAAAAAAATGCAAATAAAATAATATAATACAACTTATTAATAAAACAAATTATAAAATCAAAATATAAAACTATAAATTGAAATATTCAGGTTTAAAAAAATTAAGCATTTTTGTAATAGTTCAATTTTATATCAATATTATAAAAAATAAAATCTATAATTAGCAATTATTATTCACTTACTTATAAACTTTTCGAAGTTTGTCTATAGTATTTTTAGACATTGTACCTCTAAGATTTTCGAAACTAATAATATGAGGTAAATTACAAAATGATCGCCATCTAACATAAGGTGGTAAACCATGATCTCTTCCTTGTTGTATGATTTGTGCAGCGTAATCCACGGCAATATCGTTGCTTTTTCCATCATGAAAATATCTTTCCAAAAGGATTTCATTCAGTCCCGGTGGCAATGGCTTCCTAGAATGTCCCGCTGTCGCGAAAATTAAATCTTGCATCCTAGATTGTCATTAAAACCAAGTTCTCATGGGACACCATGTTAGCGTAACAATATTTAAAAAAATTTTATCTAAATTCCACGTATATTTTTAATAAATCATTTATCTTTCAAATACTATTTTTTAATAAAAAATGAATTAATCTATTTTTTTGTTTTTTCTAATAATAATTACTTTATATTCGAATAATAAATAGAAATACAAATCCAGATATTCAAATTTGAATGTTATAAAATGATTCTAAAATTAATAATCTATGAATTTAAAGACTTTTAGAAGACTCGCGAGAACATTCTATAATTGTTATAAGATTTGAAAGATTGCAATAAAAATTTAATATTTGCAAATATTTGTACAAACGATTCTAAAATCAAATGATTTATTTGAACTAATGGCATTTTGTGGCATTAATATCTTCAAGTTAAATACGAAATGCATAATACTATCTAAATATATTTTCTACATATACTCTGTTATAAAATGCGAGTTTAAGGAAATTTTTTATTGAAATTATATTTACATATAATTTCAACTGACCTGTAGCGCCGACGATCAAGCGATCAATAGCACCAGCTTCATAGAACTCTTGCGGAGCGTAGAAGGCCGATAGTAAGGACCTTTCTCCAGACTTTGACGCCGATCGCGAGTCAACTAGGTCGAGGGTTTTTGGGGTCAACGTGGCAATGAAGAAGAGTCCAGCAGACGCGACAGCGTTCGAAAGTGTCGCATCCGTTCGACTGTCGTAGTTTCGAAAATAGCCTCGATGCGTTAAGCGTAATTGGTATCTTTCGATATTAAAAAAAAAAAAAAAAAAAAAGAATTTACATAAATTAAATAAAATCAAATAAAATAAAAATAAATTAACGAAATAACAAATCGTTAATAGAATTAAATACAAATTTCGCTATATTTCGATCTATCGAACGATTGGAACTGTTAAATTAATTATAAAGCGAATAAGAGAAATACGTACTTGTCGAGAGTTGTTTCGCCGAGAACAACGGGTAGAAACTCGTTATAAGTTATATGCTCCATTTCCGCGATAACGATCCTTCTTGCTTCCTGGTAGAGTCTCTCATCTTCCCAGTGGGGATTCAGTTGTCCCAGGGCAGTAGCGACTCGGTTATGTTCACGTAGAAAAAGTACATGCATCAGAGTGAGACCGGGATTCTCGTTTACCCGCGAATCCCCGCTAAGAAAACACGGGAAAGCTTTGTTCGCGGTTCTGCAACTTTCGTACTTGGGCGAAGGCATGGGCAAGTTCTTCCTTTGCGTATTAAGCAAACCTCCTTTGCCGGATCGGAGAGCTTTCGCTACGTCTTCGGAACTCCCGTAAAGAGGGGAAAGATCCAAATACGAGGACGCTTGGTTGATCTGCTGTCGAGGACCCAATTTGCATCCCTGTAACAAGGGATTCGTATTATACAAATTTTGGACATCAAGAGTTTTAAGAATTAAACTTTCTTCGATGTACGAAAAAAAAAAAAAAAGAAAAAAGAATAATTTTCTCAACTCTCTGAATTACTTACTTACTAACAACGTGAGACGCGTAGACAGACTTTCGTAAGAATTGTTGCAAAAGATTTTACTCGCACGGTTATGCATTTCTATTATTCTTCGATAATTTACCTGTAACGAATATCCTGGGTGCGGCGCCGATCTAGAATATTCCATGCAACCGACAGCGTTATCGGCTCGGATCGGGAAACATTCTGGATGAAAGTGTTCGTAATCCACGTCGCAACACTTCAATTTCGCTCCATCGGGTAGTTCAATCTTCGGTGTGTGCGCAAGATCGTGGACGAGGAATTGGCCGAAGAGTGCAGTGAGCGCCATTAGGTAGGGATGTTTGAGGTCGGATCCACCGGAATGCACGTTTAAAGAGACATCTCTGGCGCTTGGCAAGTTTATGCGTGGTAAAGACACGCCATCCACGTATTCGGGTGGCAAGAATCGGACGTAAGCCTCTAGGGCAGCGCCCCAAGTCGGATGCAAACCGTTATTGCATTTTCCGCTGTGCGTCCTGTAGCGAGGATCGATCTTCTTGCAACTGGCCATCACTTGCAAAAATGTAGGCGAGTCGGGGCAATTGATGGGGGCAACTGATGGCAACACGGACGTCGCCTCTTTCGATGACATGTTCAAAGCTTCCACCAACATCACGGCCATCGTTTCTATTCGCAGGGCTCGCCTCGACAGATTTTGGGCGTGCTCGGTTATCTCGTGTGACGCCCCGAGGAACCACGAGGGTGAGCCGTGATTTAAATGCGTGCGCGAGTTCAGGATCGCTCGTTCCGCCTGCTCGTATTTCTCCATAGAGATATTTGTACGTCTACCCAGATCCAGTAACATGTTTGACGGTAATGTCGTACCTTCGACGAGTACCGATATAGTAAGGAATCTGCGAATCGGAATCTAAAGATAAGAAATATAAGCTTGTCCCTACAAGTAAAAGTGCAAGCCTGTTTCGTTCGAATTCATAAATTAAATTTATGAAAGTGAAAACAATGTCGAAGAAAAAAAGAAAAAGAAGTAAAATATTAGGGTATTAACATTGTGAGAATGTAACATTGTGAGAAAGTGATGAAAATATCATGATAATGTTACACTTTCCAGTTGAAGTGAATTCGTGAGAAATTGTCTAATAATTTCTATTAGACAATATACCTATACCTTGATGTTACCTAATAATTATCATGTAAATTCAAAAGTTCTCTTATTATTTATCTTGACAATTACACGATAAGATCAATCGTTAAATCGCAATTACAGGGTTACATTAATTGTTTTTTATATCTGTATATTTGCAACTGAAAATGCAATGGAGTATGCAATTAAATACATACAACTTTTCGCGAGTATGATTTCCCATTAAATTTTTCCTCGTATAAAGATAAATAAATAAATAAGTAATAAAAAAAAAAAAAAGGAAAAACGAGTTTACGAAGAGTTTCGCGTGACTTATTCCAACATTCGTTACAGGTATTGCAATGAACCCGAGAGACCTTGTCTTGAAGATGACATTTCGCCTTATTCCGTTTATTGTTCGTCGTTCCATTTATCGCGTTAAATTCATTCATCGTTTCTCTTATATCTCGAAGTCAATTCTCTCAACAGGTTAATTTTTTGATCATGCGATATAGAGAACGAAAAGAATTCGATCGACCTTAAGAAAAGATCGAAGAAGATTCGTTACTTGACATTTAAGTTTCTTCCTGGTTCTTTTGTGATTTTCTTACGTAATCTTCTCTACTCCCATGATTAGTGTTCGTATAAATTGGTGGAAGCTATTATTCGAGAGCGTGACTCGAACAAACTTTTACCGAAGAAACTTTTTTAAATTTTTACTCTCTTTCCGCTAAAAGCAAATTTCGTTAAATTTTTGGATAAAAAGAATTGTCTAATATTTATACAAATTGAAACTTAATGTTATTTTATTTTTTATCTTATATCTAATGAAAAATATCGTTAAGAAAATTATATTTATATTGATAAAAATATCAAAGATCTTAAAGTAAATAGGTCAAAATAATAAAATTGAAATTTTTAAATGAAAATGTATGATTCTTATTTGATCTTTATTATTTTCAATAAATGATGTTTTGTTAAGTATTTTTTATGAAACTTTTTTTTTTTTTTTGATGATGTAATGTAGAAGGCATTTAACACAAAAACTTTGATTTTGTAAGATATATAATTAAAAGTTAATTTTCTGATACATTGGATGCATTCATAAGTTCATTTTACATCGTATTTTATATAAAATACACAGTTTCTTGCATATACATTTACAATTCTTCTTAGTAAAAATATTTACAAATTTAAATCTGATGCACATTCAAAATGTTATAAATATTATTACATTGTTTTATGCAAAAGATTTCATTAATATTATATATACTATCTAATTAATTTTTCAACGTTCAGAATTTATATTAAAAATAAATACAAGCACATGGCCTTCCTCTTACTATTGTAATAAAATTACATCACTAATTAAATAATTGAAATAATCTCTAGAAGGCATTTATTTGAATTATAAAATATTTGCTTAAAAAATTTGTTTTCAAAACTAAATGCTGTAATTTTTATCACAAAAATAAATCACTGAATAGTGATGTTTTCCTATTATACATATGAAGTTATATTTCATCAAATTTATTCATGTTGACAAGTAACGTAGAATTATTAATCAATATTCTAATATTTTTGATAATATTTCTTCTTCGGTAAAATATCTATTTTTATAATAATTGAATATTGATACAAGATTTTAAAGATATAATTATATATATTTTTAATTTTGACATTATCTTTAAAATGTAAATGAAAAAATCATTTCTAAATATTGAATGTATCAAATGTTAATTTCATAGATGAAATAACTTCAAATTTCACTAGAATTCACTGTATGCCAGTGAAGTGGCCGCGTTTCGTTTTATCTCGTAAAATGAAAACGCAAAACACTCACCGCGATAGGAAGAGAAATATACCGTTGATCGATCTTCGTCTTATACACACGGGCATTTTTTTCAAAACTATCCCAGTATGATAGTAATTGATAAAATTCATTTGCCTCGTAAAATTTCGCAAGAGCCGCGCCGGGTATGCGCAAGAACACGAAGCGGTAAACCTGAACTAAGACCGATCCTCGAACGAAAGTAAAACTTCAGTCCGTTCAGTGGGTTCAAAGAGTGGGGCCAAGTAAGGATCATGTTAATATAGGGTGTCAACGATGTATTGCTCGGTCGACGTATAACACTTGAAAGATACGGTAAAAGCGCATCGTGGTTGCAGCTAGATTGGTATTATGAACAAGACCAAGGTTCACCTTTCATAGACTATGTTATTCGTAGTCGCGGTTGGACGTACAGTTTCAAGGCTCCAAAGTGCATTCACACTTTCGTATATATGGCATGCTGTATATATACATATGTTGCGTGTTCTTTTACAGCATACCTCGTGTATAGCCTCTCAATGCCGTTGCACTATGCTAATTGACACTTACAGGCTTGACTGTAATGTTACCTATAGATTGAAATTCTTGAATACGACGTTGCGAATGATTAACTGCGTTGATTATACAGACTCGAACACACGCCTACAATCTGGATGCGGCAATCCACAAAAGGACATTACGTGTCATGTGTGATTATTTATATTCAGCGTGGGCAGATAAACTAAAATAAATAAGTTTAAAGAATGAAATAATTTTATAAGAATTATTTGCGTAAAGATAATTATCCGTATATATTTTTTTTTTTACAAACGATCGAAATTAATTATCTCGAAAATAATTCAAATTCAGTATTACATTTCTTATCGAATATTTTAATTTCATAAATATATGTTAAATGATATTGACACGTTAAAAAATATATAAGTAAATGATGTACTACAAACATAACTAATTCGAGTTTGGGAAAGTTTAGTTCTGAATTAAACGAATATATTATTTTTTATTTATTCTCATTTTATATATAAAAAGATCCTTTTCAAGAATTGATTTAACATTTCATGAAAAAAATATTATTTTGAATTGAATTTAATTTATAAAGTATAAATAATTTTGATAATACAATTTTATATTTTGGATCCAGGGTATCTATAACTACTTAAAAATAAAACTGTCATTAGAGAGGCCTTGAGCACTTTTATTTTCGCTCTATGTGCCACTGCTTACATTATTCATTTTTTTTTTAACTATTGTTTGTTTCCACGATAATTACTCACTTAAAATGTATTGAAATTATCTATCATTGCGTCCATATTAGCATTTATTGCTGAAATTACAGAATCCATTTTCAAGAACGGATATCATCTGTGTTATCAAGTACTGCTCCACTATAAGCTAAATCCCAATAATGTTCAACTTGGTGTTTTTTAAAATGCTCTCGAGCCATTTTTTCAATTGGACAAACTTTAAATTTGATTTCTCCAAAATGACGTTGTTTGCTAGTACCTTCCCATACGAGAACACATTTGTTCGGTACATCATTTCCATCATTATCTTTTATAATATCTTCTTCCCATTTAATTCGATTCATCATTAATCGTTTATATTTACTTAATTGTTTTGCTCCTCCTTCTACAACAACAACATTACAGTCTCGGAAAAGCATTACACAGCCCGTGAGGTAAAGTTGTTTTGCATTTGTTTCCACTTTAAATTTCTTTGAAGCGTTATTTAAAAGGTCACGTATTCTGTAATAACAATATTAATATATTTTTACATAATATATTATAAATATATATTATATTTATTCATTTGTAATAAACTTTCATAATAAATTTACCTATAAACAGCTACATGTACACCGAGCGTGGTATCCTCCTTAAGTTTTCGCGCCTTCTTTTCACGTCGCTGGTCGGCAGTAAGTCTTCGAGCTGCATTAGCATCTTCATGTGCTTTTAATCTTTTAGCCATTTGCTGTCGAACATGAGCTTCTATTTTCGTAGGATCTTGAACAGCTTCTGTACCTAATACTCGCATAAGATTCGAAATTCGTAATTTTGGTTCTGGAGGTGGTTCAAGACCTAATCGAATTTTTTCTTGTTCCTCTTTCCAAGCTTCTCGTCTATTTTGTCTTCGTAATTTTTTGCGTTCTTTTTTCGTTAGAAATACAGGCATATATATAGGTTTTAAAGGATCAGCTAAAATATAAAAAATAATTAATCAATATTAAATATTTTTATTATATAATTTATCTGAATTGAAAATGAAAATTATCTAAATTGTATGTATATATTAAAAAATACATACTTGGTGGTCGCATTTGCGTAGGATGTTCTACTAAATTTGTAATAGTGGAACTTTTAATAGTTGTGGATTCATTTTCGTCTGGGTATCCTCCTGTTAATATAACAGAATCCCACCACTCTACGTTAGGCACATCTTCGCTTAGAGCTTCTGTTTTTGGAGCTATGAGGGCTAATTTAGTTGCTGAACTTATACCAGTCTTTCTAGCAATTTGACTAATTTCATTTTGTAACTTTTCTAACTGAGCTCTCATACGAATTCTTTCAGCTAACTGTTGGAACTTTCCAGGTTCATGAAATTTGAGAGTACGTTTGCCTCTTACTGCAGGTTTTACACCTATTCTAGTATCAAAAAAGTGTGTATCTTGAATTTCTTCTGGACCTTTTGATTCTTGTAATTGGGCTTTAAATTCTTCACGTTTTTTCGCTCTAATGTTAGCTTTTAACGTTGGCACTACTTGTGTTAATTGTACTTCTTTGCCTGTTATATCTACGGTTCTGCCAGATTCATCCAAAATTAGAGGAGTTGGTTTATCTGGAACACTGACATTACCTAATAGTCCTGAACTTAGTTTACTTCTAATTTGAGCTTGCAAAGCAGCAATTTTTCGTGCTTTGTCAGAATCTGTTTTACTTAATAAACCCTGATTGTACATGCTTCCTACGGTTGGTAAAGAATCTCTTTTAAGTAAAGGTTTTACTGGTGGAACCTCTTCTTGTTTTATAGCTTTTAATGCTCTTTTTCTTTCTTCAATTTCTTTTTGGGCATTAGCCATCATTTGTCTTATCTAAATGAAAGCAGTGCAATTAAAGTAATTAAAGTAATATTTATATTTACATATTTATATATATTTATATTAATATGTAAAGTACCTTATCAGCAGATAATTGTGCTTCCGTTGTCTTTTCATTTTTGATTTCATCATCCCTAAACCTAGGTTTTTTTGCATCTTTGTCTTTATCCTTGTCTTCCACATGATTCCGTTTTTTACTTTTCTGAGCTGCTTTGGCATCATCATATATTGCAAATATTTTTTCAGTTAATTTTGAAGCTTTTTTATCTTCCAATAAAGCGGATAATTTATCTGCAAAATTAAAAGAAATAACGAACATTTTCTATTTCATAGAGATAATAAATTTATACATAAAATAATATATTAAATTTTTAATTAATTATACCAATTATATTTAAACAATATAATTAATCAATTCATAATATTAATTATTACAAACCTGCTGTTTTGCGTTTATCGTAACCTGAAGTAATACAATTGACAGCTGTAGTCACAATAGCAGGTTCCCCAAAACCAAGAAATTTATGAACTGCTTTTTCTATTTGTGGTTTCATTTCGTCTATTTCTTTTCTTGTTAAATAAGCCATTTTTATTACGTTTGTTTCACAACATAACCTCTATAAATTATAAGGTTAAGTATCGCATTTTAATTGCACTTCTATATGGGAACGATTATTATATTCCAAGAAGTACCAAAAATTCAGTTGTTTTAAAAAAGATTGTCATGAGTATTTTTGTTTATAAAACAATATTTTTTTTGGAATTAGATATTGGCAATCATACTCAAATAATATCGACATCACATTGAAATACTGTAATTGTTATTTAGTAATATTTAGTTACTTACTAGATTTTATATTCATAGTGACAACATCAATGATTTCCCTAGAATAATCATGAAAATGTCCCTAGTTAAATAGTGGAAATTATGTATTATAGTAAATTTGGAAATTGGATATAATAAATTTTTGAAACGAGTTTTATTTTTTATTTGTAGAAATTATATTGTAGAAATTAAATAACACAAATAACATTACAGATGCTAATTAGATATATATATATGTATTATTACATATACATTACATCATTTATTAATAATTATTAATACATATATCGATACACTTTCCTGTTTAAAAAAATAAAAAAAAGGACTTTTCAGATCATTAGTAATATTTTTTTCTTCTAAAATTTATATTTTAAATATTTAGCCTCTGTTTAATTTATTATTTATTTAAAAAAAAATTAATTTAAAAAAAAGAATCGATATTTGTAATAATTAATAAAAATAGAATTTTAATTAGTTCGTTAAATTAATAATAACAATAATTATTATAATAACTATAAATATTTTGAAACAAGTAAATCTTTTATACAAACTTCTGAAAAACTCTTTAAACATTGGACATTTATTGCCGCAGAATACGATAGAAATTTTTAAAAATAATGATTTTAGATATAGATTTTAAATATAAAATTCTATGACATTAACTTTACATAAAATTAACAATTCAAATTCATAAATTAACATAAATTTGATGATTTTGAAAAATTTTTGGTTCTGAAATTGATAATTATTTCTGCATCATATTTATATTTATCAACGCAAATTATCAATTGTTAAAAAAAGTTGTTAAAAAAACGCGTATACCAATTTTCTGAACATTCTACATATATATGACTTAAGAAACCTAAATTGTTTAATGTAAAAGTTTTATTTTAATTGACAATTTTAATTGAAAAATGTAATAATAGAATTTAAGAAATAAATGAAAGAACTATTACATATAAAAGAAATCTAATGATAAATCATGTTAAGCCAAGGACAAATGCAATAAGATTTATTGTTTCGCATAAACTTGTTCAACAAAATGTATGAAGGTGGTAGGGGATGAAGACAGCTTTGGGAAGTAGTGGAATAGCATTGGACCGACAACCGCAAATGAAAATGGTAGAGGGAACTATGCAGTTCCACGCTTCCTTGGTGACCGATGAGGCCAATTCTAGAAGACCACATTTGTTTCATTCGAAACTGTTGTCCTAAACTTTTCTGTTAATTGAAACGAAGAAATTGGAGTACTCGTATCTGTTGTTTTAGAACTGCTATCGAACGGAAATTTTACAAAAACTCTCGACGCAGTGTGGACAAATATACTCAAACGAATCGAGTCAACTTCACAGAGAAATACATTGATTAAAGCTCTTTAAATAGTCTTAGGAAAGCTTATCTGACTAAAAATCTATAAAGAGGATTGTTAATTTTACTCGGTTTTTGCAATCAATAGAAATATCATTTATATTCTGTACTTAAAATGTTATGAAAGCATTGCAATATTCTAATTAAAAATTTCTTAAAAATATATTTTCCTAAATATAATTAAACAGATATTTATAATCATCCGTAATCGTTTTTATTAATTTCACATACAGGCAATTTTATCAAATATCTGATCTTATTATTTCTTCAATTTTCTTGGAATGACTTGGAATCGATGTGATAATCCGAAACCTTCGATACAAAATCGTTAATTCTTCATTGAACAAGATCAAAATCAAAATTATCAATTATCAATTATCAATGTTTCATTCCACAGCTTTGTGTATAAAACCTTTCCCATTGAATTTCATTCGTAATTTATCTCGATAACCGATTTTTTCCGCTAGTGATCCCGAAATAATACATATTTCCATAGCGTACGCGACATGCACGATACACCGGTGACAGTCCACTGTCCACGCGTATACCGGGACGTATCTAGATCGCTACTAAAATTCAGTCACAACGTATCGAGCCAGTCGTGTTTCTTCGTAAATTTAACGATTTTACCGTGGCAGACGTGGCCACGTCCTGAAATGATGTACGGTTCGCTCGTATGACTCGGTAGCTAATGCTTTAATATGCGCAAAGGGTGCCATGCCCGTGTCACGCGGATTACCGCTAATTGTAGTTTATGCTTTATACTACGCTATTCTCTTGTACGTTCTGTCGTCCGTTGGGTATTCGATATATATATATATATATATATATATAATATATATATATATATATATATGTATATATAATATGTATACAAACCTGTATGTTTATTTGTATAGGTGTTTCCCTATGGGTATACATCCATATAACAATTTGTATTTGAAAACGCGCTCATTATGTACAAAGCTTGTACAAGTTTTAGTCGCTTTTTTTAAATACAAATGTCATTGTTTCTAAAGATAAAAGCGTGGAGAATTTTTATCAAATGTACAGATGTATTATACAGATATATTTGAAAATTAATCATGATTTTTTAAATGATTTAGAATTACGTTTGAGATCTCTTTCTTTTTTTCCTTTTTAATTTTGGCGCAATGATGCAATGATGTTTAGAGCCGAAAGGAATTGATTTCGTAATGTGTCGTAACGCTTATGTAATCTCTAGCACACGGCATCTCACGATATTCATTTTACGTTTAATCATTTTAGAATGTTATAAATTTTGATACAAGGATGGATCTTGCGGATAATAATCTCGTAATGTTAATTAACAGAAAGTTTTTTTTTTGTGTAATTGCGTTACACACCATGTTTTTCCACTATCAATCAAAAAATATTCTCCACGCGAAGTTGGTACTTTTAACAACACTTTACAAATTAAACCGAAGTGTATGTATGCGCAAGGGCAGAAAGTTCAAACTTTCTCGATTGTCACGTTCGTGCGTCCGTCAATTTCGCTAACATAACTGAACACCGCGCCCCTATCTCGCAATTAAACGTGCCTATATATCTATCCTCTGTGTGATCCAAACACAGGATCTTTTGTACGTTCACGGCCGAGCAGACGAGTATGAGTTAGCCAACAGCGCCGAGACAGTCGATTCACGCGGATATTCCCGTCTCTTGGCACAATTCTCAATATCACTGCGACCGGTTTGTCCATTCGTTTTCAATTTTGCGATGATGCTGGCAACACTAATTACGCTTGTGTTTCTTCATCCGCGATCCGAATTCAACGGCGCGTCATTTCTGTTTCGAAATGTCGTTATTTCGATGGGAATTATCGGTCGGTTCAAGTTCTTTCCAAATAATATAAATAGAATTATAACGGCAAGCGCAAAAAGATGATTTATTTTTAATCGACTTACCTCGTCTTGCTCTTAACTCAACTTAAATTCATGTCCTCGCACGTGATTCGCATTGTTGTTGCATCGACGATGATACGACGTATTTAATTTAATTAAGCATTAAGACTTAAACTGCGATGAAACAAAAATATTGTCGTACTTGATTTATTCCATGTTGTATTTTTGTCACAAAAATTAATCATACGTTTCATTAGTGTCTGTATAAATATAAAGTATTACTTAAATTTATGAATTTTATTAGAATTATGCTGCAAATATTATGTGATGCTAATTGCTAATTTATTTGTTGCGTTTTTCTGTCGCGAATAATTAATCTTATTTTATTTTAAAATTATATACAATATATATGTATTAGATACATGAAAATTTAATTACTAATCTCTGTATATTTAATTGCAAGTATTAATTTCAATTATTTTGCATGAAATTATGAATATATTATATATATAGAAATTTACTTTTTTATTATAAATAACAAATAGTATTTTAATTTCGTTTTCTTTTGCATGAATACAATTTTTTATTAACAATCGTTAACGACTTGTTGAAGGAGATCTCAATTGCCGTGATACGTAGAAGAAAAATCGTAAACTATGCATACCATTCTCCAGGATGATATGCTTGATAACGTCAGACAAAACTTATGCTTTGGTTGTATCGTTAATCTTCTAGTCATTCTACTTGTTCGTGTCGTTCATATAATCTGATCTACAATACTTTTACTGTCCAAATAAGGCTGCCATATCTATTAGATTCATATCTATCAGCAATATATTATTACGTGTTCACGGTCATTGAAGAAATCTTGATTACGAAAGTTCATATAAAAGTAATAAACATAGAGAATAAATTCTCTTTACCAAAATAATGGAGGAAGATTAAGATATTTTAAAATTTTTTTACTCGAGTATTAATTATATAATTATATAAATATGCGACAAGTTAAGTGAAACGAAATATATTCCATTTGGAAAAAAAATATTAATGAAGTTTCGAGTGAAGTTTTTATGCGATTGTTTTGTCACGATAATAAAATCAATTTCATAAATCAATGAGAAAAAAAATACGAAACGAGTTGTTGAAACGATATGCTTTATTCTAAAATGGATTGGGAATAAAGATAACAGAATACATTTTCTATAATATATTTTACATTATAAACCAACCATACATCATCATAATAATATCTTATACTCTTAAGCCTAAGCGTGTTTTATCCTATATTCTCGTTTATATACTTCCTTCATATTTATACTTTGTTTACTTCTTCATAGTATTTATATATATATTTTTTATTTATATTCATCATTATTTATAATATACTTTATATGCTATATTATGTATACATAATATCATACACGTTTTTTTTTTTCACGCACGTCCCAGGGCGTCTCGCGTTTCCATTGTTACATCCTGTGTAAAATTGTCTTTTGGAGGTATCTGTCCCCTTCTTCTTCTCATCTTTTTTTTTTTTCTCTCTATGCGCACGTGCACATGTGCATCTATTTTTTTTTTCTCTTTTTTTTTCAGATAAATGTCACCTGTGATTCGTGTATAAAGTGTACGTTTGTATTATTCATTCCTATGTTTACGTGTATATGCACTTCATTCATGTTTTATACATATACATATACATATACATACATACATACATACATATATATACAT